TCTTTATAAGAAGAAATATTTTGTTTAAAAATAATTGCAGTCTGTGGATATACTACAAATTTATATAAAATACATATGTATATTAAGAATAAATACAATACAATATGTTTGGACGGGTTTCGCTTTTACTATTCTGCAAATATTCCTCGGCCGATTTGCCTAATTTTCGAGCTCGACTCTGTGAAAGCAAGGGGAACAATTTTCGAACTCTCTTAACTACCTAACGTACTTAGACTGGTATCTTTCTGCTATCTTTAATGAAATACAGAAGGACAAAGGATTTCTTTACAAAAAGACAGAAGGACGGATTAAGGCAATAAGCTTGAAAATAAAGCTTATAAGATTTTTCTCGTTTGTTATAACTTGAAAGCAATGTTTCTATAAACTTAAAAATGTTTTCTTCACAGTTTTAATTCTTTTGAAAATCTTGCTTGCGTTTAATTTCTATTAAATTGCTTTTCCTTTCTTTATGTTTACTGATCGATTTCAAGCTCTTGGAATACATTTCTATTAAAAAATATGTCGTATGATTCTGTTATTAACTTGAAAAATTTTTCATACCCATCATGTTGTGAAATGCATCCGGTAACAACATAATAATATTTTCTCTAAAGAGGAAACAATAAATTACAAAACGAATGCACGTGCGAATAAAGTGTAAGAAAAAAAACCCACAAGTTACTTTTATATTGAATGATGACCAATATGAGTTACAAGTTAAAAAGAAGAAAAAGGAAAAACAAGAAGAAGAAGAAAACAAGAAGCATTTTTATGAGTTCTAAGGATTATGGGTAAAAAACATATTTATACCTTTTAAAGGTCTTCTGATTTGATTGCCTTCGAAAGCGACAGGAAGAGCAAAAGCAAAACAACAACAAAAAAGGGTTGGTTTCGTTTTTTTTCTGTGAGGACAGTAGTAGATAGCGTATAATCAAGTTAATATCCAACCTTCTTGCACCGCCACGTACAAGTTTAATGCTTGAAGCAATGCTAAATTCTCTCTCTCTCTCTCTTTGGAACTTCGTACGCACAAAACCACCTAACGAGTTGAATATAAGCATACCTGTACAGTGTTCAATGCTTTCACTGTTAACACTCGCAAACAACTTTACTCATTTCTATCGCATAAACCCCCAACTATTAAGCGTTCATATACAATCTTAATAACTTTCAGTATAGCTACATAGAGCAATAAAAACTTGCCTATTATCTGCCAGTACTATGTACGTAAGGCCACATGCATTTATAGGGAATTTTTCTCAAGTCCTGCTAAGTCTGTTGCTAACAAATATATCGCAATTTCGAAAATGATGAAACATTAAATTAGTTTACTCTCATTGAAGGCAACGAATGATGCATTTGACCGTCAATCTGCCTGTCGTGATGGATTTAAATGAAGTCTTTGCTTGCACTTTTTGTTTTTATACATATGTATACATTTGAAAAAGCTTTACGTACGTTTGCATTCACTTATGCAAAATATTTATATACATCTACGATTTCAATTAATGTGCAGTTGCAATAAATACACGAATTGACGATAGACAGCATTTTGAATATGCAAACAGGTGTCCTGCTATCAGATGATTACAAGCGGTCTAGCGATCAGGTTTATAGTGCAACATTTTTGGCGGTTTGTTTATTTATTTTTTCTTTTTAATCGGCCTAATTAAACGACGAATTAATTTAAAGTGATGTAAACAAATTAAAATAGAAAATAAAAAACCGGAATTAAGTTGAAAAAGAAAAATGTGTTAAAAATATTATTTAAAAGAGCAATTAATCATAAATTAAAAAATAAATAAATAAAAAAAAAAAAAAATCATAAAATTCTGGCTTTTAAAGACTAGTGACATTATATATATATATATAGATTTTCTTTTTTTTTATTTTCCAAATACAAGGCGAAAAATGCTTGGACAAAAGCTAACAACAAATACACTTTTTTTAATTATCATCTTTATACGTTAAAATATGAAATAATTGACAATTTTAAAATAATACATAATTGGCTCCTAAAAGCTAGCAACAGTAAACGGGAAACATGGATATTCAGATCCAAAGGGAGCTTTCTTTCTACTTGAAAACAAAATTTCCTTTTTTCTTATTTAAATGAAACGAAATAAGTGCATCTTGACCGGGCCGAGCGAATAACGATGGTTATCTTAAGGTTTCAGATGATACTAGAAATCTTAATGTAACAGCTGCTATTAGATGTTCCGTGAGATTCGTCAGTCTTTTCAGCTATCGTGGACTTAGCACATTCATAGAAAGTTCAAGTTTATTGTAACCATTATCCAAGAAGGAGCATATACTAATTTAATCATTCCAGTTATAAGGATCATGTAAGATACCTCACGTTAGAGCACAAACCTTTCGTGACTTATCCGTCCGTACATCCTTCCGATAATGGAAGACTCTGAAGATCACAAAATTGGAAAAAAAACTGAAAGCAGAGCTAACATTTGCCCTTGCAGTAGTTGTCAATGCCCCGTAACTAGTAAGAAACGAATATAAGCGGAATTTCATATATTTGGAGTTAGGTTTTATAATTCTGTCTATTTAATTGCCATATAGTCAAATACTTAAGAAAGATGATAATCAAATCTCGGCTTGAACTCCTATCGCGATAGACTATACTTTAATTGCAATTAGTGTGCAGTCATAGCTGCAATGAGTGCCCGGCCGATAAAGTCGTAGCATAAAGATCTAGCGACCGCTCTCTAGATCTCCCAACCGACCACCATTACGATGTACATAAATACAAACATACGTACATATATATATATGCATATACATATGGTAGTATATATATATATATTTATATACACACATAAAGATGCATGCATGTGTATGTATGCGTGTTAATGTACCTGTGTACTTAAGCATATGCTTGCACTCATCGCTTACACCTTCATCTAATCCCTTTAAATATCTATGGCAATTAATTTTAATGAAATCCTCCACCCATAAGTAGGCTACAAAGAATCAATTTAATTAGCTCTAAAAAATATACCACTATTAGAATTATTAAATTCTTAGTCAAGTGTGCTTGAAACTGAAATAAAAAACGAAAGCCAAAAAATGCAATAAGGTATAAACTAATTTCAAATAAAATAAAACTAAATTTGAAAACAATATTTGCTCTTAATAAAATATGAATTTTTGATTTTAAGCATAATTGAATTAAACCGTTTTGTTTTTTTAAACGTAAATCGTTTTCGTTAAGTGTTTTGTGCACAAGAAATAATAGTATAATGAAATTGTCAACAACTAATGAGTGGTTGCATAGAAATGCAATTGAAATGCTTTTAGGCGTAGAATTTATTGACGAATATGTAAGCAAATAGAAGTATGAAAGTGTTAATAAATGAATAGGATTCGATTAAAGTGAGAAAGCTAAACTCGCCTATAGGCAAGGCTTGAATAACCACTAAATCATGTTTTATTTTTCTTTCCACAGTTTCTCTTATTCAGTGTCATATCAAAATTTACTTTATTAATATTTAGATAGCTTTGATTAATAAATGTTAATTTGAAATTTATTAAATAATTCAATTGCAACTACAATGGTATCAAAACTTTGTCGACAACCTTCTGAAGGCATTTCTTAAGAAAAAAAAAAACAAGAAAAAACATTATACCGGGACACGCTCCACCATCAAATATCTTGCACCACCTCGCTTAATATAGTTATTCATATAACAGCAACGAGCTGTATGGGATGGGGTCGAAAGAACAGTCCGGTTCTTCCTTGGATCAAACCATTGTGGCCTATACGTTGAAAACTAAAAGACAAACAGACCTATAGACAAGCTTAGATCGATTTAATAATGAAAGATATGGTCGCTCAAGTCCTATATCCGTACAAAGTTAATACAGGCTTGTACTACAACTGGTGTGAGGTATAAAAGTTGAATTTATTCTTCTACTTTTCACTGCTAAGAATTATATAAACAATAGTCCCTTACTAAGCGAGAATTACGTAATTTTAATTAACAAAAAAAGTTAATCGGACATTACGCTCAATGCATAGACAATGTAATCCCTTTGTATACTTTCTCACAGTAAATAATTTTACAATAAATAAGAAAAGGATAATCATGACTTTACCAACATTCCAATAATATTTTCCCTTAACGTTGTTAAAGTGCTTCCTGTGTTCACAAATAATATGCGAATGAATAACTTTTCTTTTTTTTTCAATAATTTCATTTTAAGTTTAAAACACACACTGATAAATACTTTTAAACTCGCTTTAGATAAGCTGCTGTGTGTGGAATAATTGCAATTTTTCTGCTTTATTGAAATATTTTAGTCTGCAGCGAACGTTTAAACATCCAATAAGTTATAAGAAACAAAAATAAATAAAAAATATAAAAAAAAAAAAAAGAAAAACAAAAAACTTTCTATAACAGATGGAATATCTTTTTCCATAAAATCGAATAAATTATGGGGAAATATTATTTTTAATATTGCAAATAAACGCGAGAAAAGATTAACATTTAAAAGGATGTTCGAGTTTTAAAATCGCTCATTACCGTTCTGTGAACAGTTGCAACATAACGGAATTTTAGGCTTTTATCACTTTCGAATTCTGCAGCAGACTTTTGAGTGCTAATTAAAAACTTTTTCTTGTTTAAACATAACAAAGTTAAGCAATGATATTAAAATTTAAATACCAAGAATTATTTCAAACATTTACTAAAGTATACTTTTGGGATTTAATAATAATCTAATTCATTACTAATCAACTCATTAGAAGCATTTTATTTTTAAATCTTAAGCTAAAGCAAAGTATACTTTGAGGATTTAATTTTATACAAATTCATTAGCCGACTTTTCAATGCCTTAGAAATCCTATTTCTTTTTTAAGGACTAAAGGTTTTTTTTTTTTAAAGAAATAGTTTTAAGATAAAAAGTTACAGTTTTAAGAAAATAATGAAATTATTTTAAATTCATTTCAATATGTTATTGCTTTTTATTTCTCGTTACATAAGATGGACTTGACTGTTTCTCCCGAATTGGAAGATTTAATCAAATGCAGTAGCTGTAACTTGCCATTTAACGATAATGATGCCGTGCCAAAAATATTCGATTGTCGTCATTATTTTTGCCTCAAATGTGTCAATTCAGTATTATGTGAAAATCGTAACGAAAAAGTTGGTAACGGAGCTAGTGGTAACAGCGGTTGCATAAGCAACGCTACCGATGTAGCATTCTGTATACACTGTTGGAAGCGTACAGAATTTCGTGGTGGTACAAAATCACTCGGCGAACAATTGCCTACACATAAAGCGATTTTGTATTTAATTAAACATTTCCATGGTTTAACATTGAATCCTTATCTAAACGGTAAATGCTTAAGCAATGGTTTTGTGGGAGAAAATAATTCAAGTTTAAGTAATGTAAAGAACGCGAATGAAATTGTAAATGGTAATTGCGATAAGACACGTTCAGATTCATTGGCTTCAACTAATTCTATTGGCGTAAATCTTAACACTGACAGTAGTACAACAACTAATTTAGTTAGCAATGGCAACAATAATCAAATGAACGGCTTTGAACGTAAGACTCCAGCAGAGAATTGTTTAATTCATGCGATGCCTAATACGTTGTGGTGCAATTCATGCAATGAAGTGTTATGTCGTGGCTGCGCAGCCGGCGAAGAGCATCGCAGTCATGTTGTCAAAAATCAAATCGAGGCTAAAGAATTTATTCAGGGTGAAATTGCTCAAGAGCTAAAGTATATACAAAAATCTATGGATGATGTTCAACATTTAATGACAAAGCAACGCAATTTTTTAGTCAAGATATTGGAATGTTGTTCGGCATTGAAAACTCATATCGAAACGGAATTAGTTAATCAACGATTAGCTTTAGAGATGGTCGAGCTAAGGGATATATTGGGTAAATTTCAATTGTGCTTAGAAATGTTAGATCAGCAAACGCCAAAAGAAGCTTTAGATTTGTATGCTTCGGTGCAAGGTGAAAAATTACGTTTGACTTTGAAGCAAAGAGAAGTGTTCCTACAATGTAAATTAAATGAAGTAATGCGTTCGTGTAGCTATCTCTTCGATTATGATGTCCTTAAGCAAATACTAATGCAATTGCATAACTGCGGTGGCGGTCATATGATGGGTGAAGTTTTCGGTAAAAGTAACCAACAACAGGAACCGAACGGTTTATTATTGTTAACCAACTATTGTGTGGCTCAACTCTATACGCGACAAATAATGATTAGAAAACAACAAATGCAAATACAACAGCAACACCGCCAACAACAGTTGCAATTCCCTTCCAAGACTTTGGCAGCAATTCAACAAAATTCCTCATCGAATTTGCCTAATACGCTGTTACAAACGATGATCTCAAATGTAAATATGCCACCGGGTCTAAATGGCCACATCAATAGTAATACTAACAATAATAATAATAATAATAATAATAATAATAATAATAATAGCAACGGCAACAACAGTAATAACAAGAATTTATTAAATCGACACTTAAATCAAACCACCAGCTACGCTCAGGCTTTATTACAAAATCACAGTACAAATCATCATCATCTTCATCATCAGCAATCACAACAACAACAACAACAACAGCAGCAACAACAACAACTGCAACCATCACAACATGCCTCTGCGCAACATACACAAATATTTGGTCAACAAAAGTCATACGCTGATGTTACTTTAAACAAACAACAGGCCAATAAAGGTTATCCCGATTTAATAACACCGGCCACAAACTCTACAGTATCCACTACTTTGAATTTATTAAGTCATTCTTCGACAACAACAACAACAACTACCAACAACAATAATTATTTTTATGCTACAACAGCTGCCAATAACGATTTAAACGGCTTAGCTTTGTCATTAAATCAATTGCAACAGCAACAACAACAGCAGCAGCAGCAGCAGCAACAGCAGCAACAACAACAACAACATCAAGCGACTTCATTGCTTAGCAATCCGAATCTACATATTTATCCCGTTTATTATTTTAATATCGAAATAAATAGTCAGGCAGCCGGTCGCATACTTATCGAAGTACGCAGCGACGTGGCCCCGAAAATGGCTAAAAATTTTAATGCTCTCGTTAACCATGAGCTGGGCTATGGCTATAAAGGCTGCCATATATTTCAATGCTGGGAAAATGAAAGTATTATTACTGGCGATTTTGAGCACAACAATGGTCGGGGAGGTCGTTCCGTATACGATGAAGGTTACTTTATGCCTGACGATACAAAAATTTTGGCAGTACGCGGCGCTGTTGGAATGCGTAGAAGTCAGCGACGTCATGATAATTTAGGTTTAGTCGGTTCACAATTTCGAATTATTTTACGGGAAATGCGTTGTTTTACGGGCATATTTGCTTTCGTCGTTGACGGCCTCGATTTGGTGGATAAAATTTCTCAAACCGGTGACACGTCGGGAAAACCGAAAAGTAACGTTATTGTAGTTAGTTGCGGTAAATATCAATTGAATTAAGAATGAAAAAAAAAAAAAAAAAAAAAAAAAAAAAAAAAAAAACTATATATAATATTACGTATTATCAACTATCAGAATCGAAATTATTTCTCTCTCTTCCTCCTATTCTTGACTTTCGAGATCTATTAATATGTTAATCCAGTAGTGATTACTTCAACAGCGCTGAAGTAATCTAAAGAAGGTTTTCGGTGTATATTTTATTGCAGATCGATTCTCTCTCGATCCTATCAAAGAGCGAACTGCTTGTGAGCTAAGCGACCTGAATGCCTTGTAATATTTCCCTGCAAAGCCTTTGGGAAAATCATACATTCCCTAGAGTCCAATTTATATATAGACCAAGTCGGTTGAGTTGGAAAGGTTCAGTTGCCTTTCCTATCAATTCCATATGGCATACGAAAAATGTTGCCTTTAACACAAACCTTTGATCCATATCTAAATCCTTTCTTTTCTAATTTTTAATGCAGCCGCTTAAGCTGCTACATAGCGCGTCTTACTTTATTCCCGCAATTTCACTTAGATAAACGAATTATGATAAAAATAATAAAAATACATTTCACTATTTTGCAATGAACCCTTTTCAAGAATAGTTCCCATTTTAAAAGAGATGAATTAGATGCGGGCAGTGTGTGTCCTTTGAAAAACTTAATTTGAAAAAATTTGTTGATACAGTCGGGCCAGGCTGGCCGTTAAACACTCTACACCACAACCCTTTACTATAGCAACCAATTCAAAATCACTCTTCGAATTTTCGCTGTCTGTCTTGCTTTTTTGTGCTCACAGTTCGTAATATTTGACATGTTTTGATGAAAGTTCGTACATCGATATGCTTTGCCACAAGGACGAATACTATTGAAAATAATTCGGGTCAGACCACTTTTTCAAATACTTCACCTAAAACACCTTATTTTGAAAACCATATTCAGCGTAACGGCTTAGGATATTTCACCATGGGCCAAATATATATTTTGCTATGTTTATCATCACTTATTAAAAATATAAACCTTTTTCTCATACAAAAGCTTGCTTCTCACCACAACCCTCGTATGAGGTGGGCTACGAAAATGGACCTATTGACCTAAATTTGACTTAGTTGATTTTTACGTCAAAGTACTGTCTTGTTCCCAACTATCACAGTGAAATACGAACCATTATATCATTTGTCATCTAACGATATATATACGATTCGTTGGAACAGTTATGTAGGAAGTGGATTTGAAACATTGGCCCATCCAAAATTTTCACTTCAAGTTATTAACCAGCGATTTTCGTCGAGATATATTCAACATTTTTTTTTGATAACATTCTACCAAAGGGGTTCGATAAGAAAAGTGGTCGCAAGAATAGTCCGATCCAATCCATTTTCAATAGCATTCGTCCCTGTGGCAACACATGTCGGTGTGCGAAATTTCGTCAATATATCGCAACCATTGCGACATGTACGTTGAACACAAGACGGACGGATGGATAGACAAACCATTTGTTATTGCTATATTTTCGTTTCAAAGCAAAACGTTAGGAAATCCTATATATAATTTATGCTAGACTATCCCTCCTCTGCATCACCTGACATTCCAGAATTAATTGGCTTAACTCTCTTGTAATGGTTTGCCTATGGTATGGAAGAAGTGTCATTAGTACAGGGAGAAAAAAAAACCAAACTCTCGTTTACCTTTGCTACGAAAATGTCGGCGTTTGACTGCGCTATCTCTAATACAAAAAATAAATTGGTTGGATTACTTTAGCTTTGAGTTGAGAGCAAAATCTTCTTCTTTTTTTATATTTTTAATAGCAGGCATCTAAAGTCAAAGTGCGAGAGATATTAAACCACCCAATGTTTCTAGAAGTCTAGGGCCGATCTTTAGGTAAACGTACTGAAAGCAAGGTTATAGTAGGAAAGTCCAACTTTATAGTCAGTATTTTTAACAATGAGCTTAGGCGAATATAAACGACCATCTAATAATTTTATTTTTAATCTATCAAGACTTAACTAAACACCTCAATGAACTTCGAACGATTTTCGAATAGAAATAATCTTTTTTTTTTATTCTTTCAGACAAGCATTTTTGTTCCACCCTCTCTATATATAATATATAACAATTTTATATATTTCTTGATATATTGAATTTAAAATTAAATTGTTATTCTTTACTGTTAGTTAGTTAATTAGAAATTATCATCTTCTCCTGCCTATTCGGGCAGAGTTGCATTTTCATTAAACGTTTACTGAAAAATACTGCTAAAGCTAATGTTTTTTGATAAGATTAGGTTATTAAGGGAAACGTTTTCACCGCATTACTGGTAAACCCAGCGATAAAGTGATTTTAAAGGCCATTGAAAAAAATGAATAAATAAATAAACAAACGATAAAAAGAAACTTTTTTTGTAAAAAAAAAAAAAAAAATCTACGCACTCTACTTAGTTAGAAAACGTTTAACTTTAAAAAAATATACTTTCTACTCGGCACAGAACTTTAAAACAAAAAGAACAGAAATAAAAAAACCAGATGTAATGATGTATAAAAAAACCCATTTCTTTTCAAAGGGGATCAAACCAAGGCCAAAAGAAATTATTTATAACATGAAATGAAATTTTAATTTTTTTTATTATCAAGGCTTCAAGAAAAGGTCCACCAAATTTAATATAGAATGAAATGAAAAAAAAAAAAATCTCTTCCTCTCTAAAACAAAAAAAAAAGTATTTATAAATAATAATAATAATCATAAACAGACAACAAAATGTGTTTAGGGAATTTGTGAAATATATAAAAAATATTACTAAAAATAAATAAATAAATTATTAATCATATAGAGTAAATGTACAAAATATGAAAAGAAAAAAATAAATTGATTTTTTCTTAAAAAAAAATATTTAAAAATATTTGTATAACTGTAAGAAAACATTCTCATCTATAGTTATTACTAAACGATAAAATATAAATAATAATAATAATAAATATTTAGAAAACCAACCTATATATATATATATACATATATATACAATGGTTATAAATGCGCTACAGATATACCTGACAAAGATGAGAGAGAAAATTATTGGAAAATTTAACAAAAAAACAAAAACAAAAAAATATTGAAAACATATTTTCTTAACTTTCTCCACATATCCTTAAGAAGTTGCGTGATTTCATTATTTTCTTTATATCATATACATCGCAAAGCCTTCGCTAGAGTTTAATTGTTCGAAACATTAGAAATATAGAAAAATGAAACAAAAAAAAAAACAAAAAAAAAAATTGAACTAAAATTTGAAATTTGTAAAATTAAGAAAATTTTATGTCATTGCCAAGAAATGTTTTAAAATAAATAAATAAAATTAAATTTGCTTTAGCTGTTGCATTAAAATTTAAAAATCAAATATGTTAAAATTGTTAAAAATTGATTTGCAAGAAAGAATTTTGCGAAAAAAAAATTATATTACAAGTTAAACCACATATTTATAAAACACTAACTAACTGATGAATTAATAAATTATTAAAATTGAATTAATATTATGCAAAGAAAAACAAAAAAAAAAAATCAGAAATGAAAAGAATATATAAAAAAAAACTTATCATCGAAATAAGTTCAATTCAAAAATTTGTTTTCAGCATTTTTTGGCTGATTTATCAAATTGAACACATACCAAGGAACGAATACACACACATCTCAGTGACTGTCTTTGAACCTAAAGTCTTATTACAAACATATTTTCTTTTCAGTTTATAAGTTAAAGTTAATAAGTTTCCTGATGCCCTGAATGCAACACTGCCTGGGGCAGTATCTTGCAGTAAAGAAAAAAATCAATTACTGTATTTTTCGGACTCTAAGACGCACATCAAATTCATAGTACGAAAAATACGGTACTATAAAGATTTTTCTCCGAGTAAAAGTCAAATTTATACATCCATGATTCTGAATATAATAAATTATAGTGAACTCGATCTAGAATCCAACAGATTAGTGAATCGAAAAACTTTCAAATTTATGGTCTAAATTAATCAGGACCGAGAATGTAAGCACCCATTAACATTAGGATGTCAGCATGGAATGCAAAAAGTCTACTGAAATTGTTAAATCTATCAAGCATGTAAGGAGGATGGAAAGCTTAAATTGCTTTGAGAATTTAATGGGAAGACGGCCATAGCTAATACGACAAAAATTTTCACCGACCTTATCGATTGACATGTCTAAATAGATCTAATGTTTCATACACTAATGATCCTGGGGATTGCCCAGGACATGGCCAAATTGAGCCACTGTTTCACCCTTGGATTGGGGTTTACCTTAATCGATCGCGAATATTACAAGTCAACTTATATATCAGAGTTCATCTTGAATGTCACGCATCCATAAATACGTCAACATTATTCTAGAATGGCACGCCATTATTAATCGAATCAGTTGACGGACATGAGTTTCACATACCGAGTAACATGATTTAATCGAGAATCTTACTTACAGGCGGCTATTATCAAATCAATCGTGCATCTTACGGGCTTGACCTTGATTTATTTGGCCCAAAACTTCACGCTTCGGCTGTGATATAGCGTAATTGAACGTAAAATTACGAATATTTCAAACACTAAGACACAACACATGTATAAGTCAATAAAGTACACCATCGAGCGGCGGACGTACCAAATTCAATTCGGAAATGCGCGCACTGGCAAATGCATGCGTAAGTCAATAAAGTATTTAATGGATCGACGGACATACCAAGTTTGATTCAGAATTTCGCGCGCACTGACTAGCATTTATGAATGGGCAAAGTGTCTGATGGGCTAAAGGATATACCAAACTCAATTCAGAATTTCACGTACCTGTAAATGTGTGTACAAGTAAATAAAGTATATCGTGAACTGGCGGACACACTAAGTTTGACTCGGAATTTCGCACGTACTGAATAACATTTATGAATCGGTAAAGTATCTCATGGACGCACTGGCCAATATATGCAAAATTAAATAAAGTATCTCATGGACTAAGGGACAAACCAAATTCTACTCGGAATTCTTAATGAATTTTCACTATACCTGAACACTAAAACTATATGAAAATTTTACATTTTACCTTAAAACATGATTAATTGATGTAATAAACGATAATAACTATAAGTCATTAATTTTCTTTTTACTTTTTTTTTTATGATTAATTTTATCTCTAAGTGGTTATAAAGTGTATTTTAGTCGCATGAATTTTTTAAATGAAATAATAATAACAATAATGCTTTTTCATTAATGGGCCTTGAAACATTGATTTGAGCAATATTTTTCGTTTTTTTTTTTCTATTGTGGTTTGCTTAAGCATATGCTTGAAAAGAGAATTTTTAATAAAAAAATAGATAAATAAAAACAATAACCATTCATATAATCCGCTCCATAGCTTTAAAAAAGACAAAAACACATACGAAACATAAACGAATACAATAAAAGTAAAAAAAAAGAATAAATAAATAAATAAATAAATAATAATAATAATTAAATTAAGAGCAAAAAAAATTTTACATAAAAAACAATATATAAAATGAGAAAAAAAATTTTTTTTTTAAAAAGCAGATAAAAACATATTTTTGGAAAAATATATAAATTTTGAAAACTAACTACATGACAGGAAACAGGTTAGAATTATCAGAAAACAAGTAACATATGGACACAAATAAAGTAAAGTACTAACCACTGAAGAAGAAAATAGAATTTAGAGCAAAAAAAAACAAAAAAAAAAAAAAAAACGAACAAAACAAAATATAATGGAAACATCCGGATAAAACAATAAACCGGATTTGGTTTTTATACACTATTGAGAAACAAAAAGAAAATCCAAAGAAACAAGGAAAACAACAAACGCATTACGGATTACAGCGATGAATCTTCTAATAACTTGGAGGAAGAACTAGGCTCTGACAACAAGGCAAGCAAACAAATAAACAAACAACAAATATAAAATACAATAAGTAATATGAGATTTTAAAACGAAAATTTTAAAAGAATTATTATAAAGCCAAAGAAAAACTCTACCGAACTATATAGATTTAAATGTATATGTATGTGTGTAATAATGTATGTATATAAATGTCTAATAATCCATTAAACGTTTAAATGTGGTAGAAAATATTACAACAACAAAGAAACAAACAAAGTTAACCAATATATGTATCTTTGAAAACTTATGAACAAAAATAAACCGGTTATCGGCTCAAGACGAATTTTTTAAGAGCCACACACTGGATATATAAAATAATTTATTCAATTTTTTTGTTTTTTTCATTTTTTATTTTTAATAAAACTAAGCACAAATGGAAGGTCTACTACGTTGGACAAAATTCGTCACCTCCAGACTTTGCTTTCTGGAACTGTTTAAAAGCTTTTTTTTATTTTTTTTTTTTTATTAAAATCACTCTTAATGTAAAGAGTTCGCAAGTCGCTTGTAGAGATTTTATGATCAGTCTGAAAAATTACTTTATTTCTCATCTTACATGCAAGTGAGCATTTCCTTACCCCCACCGATTTTCCCATATGGCTATCAATAATATGCTCGTCACCATGATAATAACGAGTTTAAATTGACGCCAGTGTAGGTATACGTAAAGTTGCCGTAGTCGAAATCTGTCTAATTACCGAAAACCATTTTATATAATTCGCAAGTTTTCTTATCTTTCTTTTGCTTCAGTTTTTAGAGACTTCCTTCTAGAAGGAGATGCTGCAATACTGATTTCTTGATCTGTCCTTACTCTGTTAATAAGCGATTACACGGAGAGACATGCAAATATTGTACCCGTGTATCGAATTACAGACAAATACTAGGCATAGGCATATGAAAAAATTTCAGGCTGATTATGGGCAAAGCACGTTATCAACAACATCTGACGCAAATGCTTCTTAAAAGTTCCAATGTTTTTAGTATGTTCAAGGTAAAAATTTGTATAGACAATAATAATTCGCCACTTTAGTTGTACTTTATTACATATGTGTTGTAGTAAAGCACAGAAGCAGCAGCATTTTGTTTGGTGATGTACGAAGTAAAATATATGTATACATATATATATAATATATATATATATATATTTTCGCAGTCAGCTGAATTATTTCCATTTATTTCCACTTTGCTACATATGTAGCGTAGTAAAAGGACAAAGTGCTCGGGTCTATTGCGCATTAAGCTTCGTCTGACAGGCGGGCATCCTACCCACTAGACGATACGATTGCCGTACAAATGACGATAATCATAAATTAAAGGAAGCAAAGTTGGCTTCGAAAGAAACTTCTCCATATTCTGGTCCCTTGTGATATTAGTCAATATTATTAGCTTATATAAAAAAATCTCTGCGGATTTTTCCGCGGGACACTGTTAATGCCTATATATATATGTATATATGGGGTAACACCCACCTGATTGTCTTAAACGCACATGTGCTTAAATTTCAGTTGACATATTTTGGTGAAGATGACTTTCTAATTCTTTGCTTCTGATTTGATTTGAAATTGGGTGAAATATCCGAAGAAATACGCAATGTAACGCTCTTTCACTATAAAAAAAATGAGACATGCCGAAGTGTTCGGTGAGAATGTTGTGAATGAACGAAGGACCCAAAAGTGATTTGCTTTATTCCGTTCCGGAAATTTCGATATTAAAGATGCACATCAGTCTGGTCTAAGAAGACGAAATTTTGCATCTGGTGGAACAAGACCGGCAAATTAGTTGTCAGGAATAGGTGAAGCACTAAATATCAACCACATGACCGTTTATAATCTTTTGAAAGAAGCAGAAAGAAACCGCGAAGACTTTTTATATGGCTCATTATTAAGGTCATCTAGTTTGTCTACCTGAGAATATCACTATGAACGAACGAATATCACGTATTTATTGAGATTGAGTACAGTAATTTTTCGGTCTGTAAAACGCAGCGGACGATAAAACTTCAAATTTTTAATATGATTTTTAGAAACATATATTTAAATGTTATTTTGCGATCAAAATTTTTCGAGTGAAAAGCAAAAGATCATTGAACAAAGTTTCGAGTATTTTTAGTTCTTGACGCTTCAGGTGTGACCTTCAAAATGTTGATTGCAAAGCAATTATTTTGTATGACATACTCCAATGTATGCAAATTCGCGATTTTTAAGTTACTTAGAAGAGGCCTCTTAAAAATCGCGAATTACTTAGAAGAAGCGATGCTAGCCCAGAAAGTATGTCGCAAGATCTGTATAAAACGCAGAATAGATTATTTATGAAAAAACGTAATTGCTTATCCCGATCTTAATAGATTACACAACTTTCTCTCAAAGAGGAGTCTTTTAAGAACGTATCCTATCTATCTATCTAACCCTTACATTCTCTATACCAAAATCATTTATGTTATGATTATAGCTTAAAGCTGCATGAAGCGAGTAATCCTTTAAAAAGTTTCTAATTTTAGACAATCTTCTCCATCTTCGCGTACTCCCGACTTAACAAATAACTATAGAGAATGCAAGAGACATAGTGTTACGATTTGTTATATTTCAAAACTGATTTGAAATTTGTGCAGAGCAAGAATGACTCATAAGCAGCAGATGGCTTTAAAAGATTGCATTTCCTTCTTGCAAATCCTTCTCTTCATACTTTCCTATATAATTGACCCGGCCGAACGGTTAAAACGTTAACATCATTTTATTATGATTGGACCAAAAGATCAAGACAGTAAGAGCATTGCATCCTACACGACTTGTGGCACAAGGGCATATTAAGTTTGCATGGCTGTATGCAACACGCAGAAAAACTTCAAATAGACCCATCTGTTATTATACCGATCGATTCAAAACCGATTTTTGCATTGATCTAAGCTCATCCGTCGATCTGTCCGTCTGTTAGCTCCCTATAGGCCGCAATTTTTGAGATATTATGATGATGTTTCGACCCAAGCACGAACGCTATTTAAAATGATTCAGATCGCACTACTTTTTCGACCACTTCTCATACAGCTTCTTGCTTTGAAAGGCCGATATATGATTAATTATAGGATGATGTACGGGATTTAATGATGCACCTTGCCCCCCTACAGCGTTCTTATTTCTTTTTGTTATGTTTTTTTGAAATCGGACTAGATCGTGATCATTTTAGTTATGCTTTTTTTTGGGGGTGGAAATTGTTTTCAAATCTTTATTTATCGAATAGAGTATTAAGAGGCTTCGTTTTTTTTTTTTTTGATTGTTTCCTTACGGATGATGGTGATTATGCTGTAATTTATCTTTAAAAGTACAATTGTAACATAATTTTTATATTATTATAGGATAAAAATCTATTTTATATTAAAAAAAGGAACGTTATTCTTTAGAGTAAAAAAGTTGTTTAAATAAATATATATATATTGGAAATAATTCGAAAAACTCATAATACGTTGAGTGAGAATTCAATTAATTAAAATTTCAAAATAAAATAAACAAAACTAAAATATTAAACGTGAACAAGTGATTTTTTTTTTTTTTATTCCCCTTATATATATATATATATATAAGAAATGTGTCTTGACATTATTAGCGGTCATTTGGTTAATCAAAAAAAAAAAAGAAACAAAAAAAAATAGAACATTAAACAGAAAATTGTGTTCAAAAGCTAAATGTGGAAGAAAAATGCAAAACTTTAACTGCCACAAAACTCAATGCTATACGAGAGTTCTTCTTCAGGCCGCTAATGACAAAATTTGAAAAAGAAATTTTATTCCCTTTATCGTAAAGTCTTTAAGAACAGCAACAACAACAAAAAGAAACTAATTGCAAAATCATTTGAAAAACGTTTTAGATTAATGTACTCAAAAAAAAAAAAAAAAAAAAACAACTCAAATATTAGTTCTCGATAATAAATTAGATAAAAGCGTTTAATCGAACTTTAGAAAGCGGTATATAACAAAAAAAATTAAAAATAAACAAATAATTACTCTTTTTTTCTCTCCGATAATAAATTAATATTAGAAAGTTAATAGACATTGAGAGAATTGAACTAAAAAAGGCTTGTGATGAGTTTTTATTTGAAAAACAAAAAAAAAAACAAAAATTAAAAAAGAAGAAGAGTAAAGAAAAAGTAAAAACATATCTAGAAAGTCAAAAATCTATTTAAAGATAAAATGATTTGAAAACGGATTTGAACACATAATATTGAAAATATGACGACATCCTTTGCTTATTACATATTTCTAATTAGGTTTATAGAGATTTATACTCTCGTGATTGTTATTAAATCAATTGCAATAACAATGCTATTCTTCAAGTCATTTTCTCATTTCCCTTCTGAAAATCCACCAACTAGTTGTATGTAATATAAACTAGCCATCATTCACTAGTCATTTTTTTCTTTTTTAATTATAATAGAATATTAGTAGACAGATGAGTTTGGATAAACTTAGAGCGCAAAGATGTTTCGTACAAAGATTTTAATAAGAAAATGAAATTAAGTGGAGGTAATAATAATAAGAGAAAAAAAATCTCCTCATTTCTAGTATTGATTATAAGTGAATATGAATTCATATTCATATAAAAATATATGTATATATAGAAAGACTAAATTTTCCTAACCTAACATAAAAATAAATAAAAAAAAAAAAATTTAACAAAAAGTCTGTAAACTATTTGTTTATCATTCAGAAAACGAAAAGAAAATGTAAAATAAACTGTAATATAAACAATAAAATAATTTAATCTAATCTATGTTTGATGGATTTTATGAAAATGTGAAAATAAAAACTTATAAATGTAAAAAACCTAATTAAACAGAAAGTAAGAAATGTTTTATTTTACATAAGATCCATCATTGATTTTATATTCTCTTTATCATCCATTCTCACCAATTTTTTGTTAATAAGTTTGTATTTATCACTTACCTTATAATAAACATCCGGTACGTATTGTTTATCAGATGATTCACGTATATAACCCAATTCGGGTGCATCTTTTGTGGGCACTAAACAATTATCTCGTACCAATGCCATACATTGGGCCGAAACAGCATAACCTTCCATATGCACTTGTTTTTTTTTATCACCTGAAATATTTAATTAAGTTTTCAAAAAAAAAAAAAAAAATAGATATATATCTACAAACACTAATGTGTACGGACCACCATTAAATACCCTACACTACAGAACAGTTATCCATACATTTTTATACAGGAAGTGGTCCAGTCCAAATAACTTTCAATAGCGTTCGTCCTTGGACCAAAACATGTAGGTACAACAAATATCTCAAATAGTGCGATCTGCAGGTTAAACATAAAAAACGGGACAGACAGACGGACAGACAAACTTGTCGGTGTAATAAAAAGTGATTCCATCTCAAGTTCACTTGGTTGTTGCAAGGATACACACAAACTTAATATATCCCTTGTACCATAAGTAGTGTGGGGTATTAAAAAAACAAGGAAAAATTAAAAAACATTTTACCCGTAACGCAAACTGTAACGAATTTCGAGCCAAAAGAACCGTTCGAAGAGTATTTGCAAGAATTTGGATGACGATTTTGTAATTCACCAGCCGTTATACATTCTTGAGCAGTTAGAAAATGAGTCTCAATACCACGCAATTGTTTAACCGTACCAGCTGCTGGATCGTCGGTTATTAAATCAGTAAATATCCAGCCAACCTAAGGAAAGGAAACAGTATGAGATTAAAATAGAATACCAGTTTTTTTTGTAGAAGTAAAAGAAGTTATTGAACTAATTAAGGAAGAAAAGCAAAATGAACTATTACAGTGATCTAGAAAAAGTTTATATATATCTGCACAAAATTAGTATTTTGTTAACATTTAAATTAAAAATCCCGTCTTTCAAGCAGTCCTCAGTATTTCATATTCAATAACACGATGCATTTAACACGTAAGGGTTCGTAGGGGTATAATATATATATGTACATATATGTATTTTGTACCCATCACTGTTATCCTAAAAATGACAAAATAAAAAACTCAATTTGCGTGCTCTATAGCATCGAGTGGGCGCGGCTGTTTTTTTGGGTTTTCAAAATAAAAGTTTTTGTCGCATAGGCGTGCAGGCGTTTTGGACGTGTCCTTGGAAACATTTAAGTAACATCCTTATGTATTTCCAACTTTGTAGGCAATATCTTCATTTTCACTAACGGGAGAAAGCTTACCGCAAGAACTACAGACAGACAAATGGATAGACGAACAAACGGACATGCATTCCAAAGTTGAAACGAAGTCATAGAGTTTGGGAAGGTATACAATGCAAAACAACAGTGTCGTACACCGGGAAAGAATTTTAGATTTAATTTATGAAACGCACTACTTTTGCGGCAGAAAGGATTCAAAGATAGTTTTCGTTGACCTTTAATCGAAAATAATTTTAGAATGAGATCCAAGCACTACAAAAAAAAAAAATAACATTTCGAACCAAAGGAAAAGTAAAGAATAGTCTATAGCAGCGTTATTTAAATGGATCTTTTTTGCTATATTTTGTGTACCTTTCTTAAACCCAAAACTTTCGCGACTTCTTCCACATCATTTATTGCCTCATCGTCCAAAAACTTTATCGAATCTCGTGTAGTTTCCTGTGGCGGCTCATAAATAGCTGCTACCTTCGCCCGTATACCCAAGGGGACATCTGTATTCATTTCATAAGTACCGTAAAGAAAACCCATACGCTGATGACCGGTAGTGCGCCAATAATTCAAAAATCGTTCTACTATATTTGTATTCTCAAACATAACGTTATCCACATGACGGTAAACTTGACGATTTAACGTAATGGCCGACGGTTGACATTTGGAACATATACCCTTAGGCCAAGGTAAGTGATCACGACAGCCAGTTTTAATGCGACAATTGATATCATCGAACACCATATACTTGCCACGATCAATACCCGAAGTTTGCTTTCGTATGTACGAGTGAAATGATAAATGTTTAATTTTATGCTCTTTCAGATATGATTCATCGTATGGTTCCATGGGCGAACAATGAACACAGCAACCATTGGAAGCATGATGGCATCTAGTGATAACAAAAGAAAACTTTTCGATTTTTTTTTTTCTCTATCTTTATAAATTTAGCGAACTTGCAATTTAGTATCTCGACCGCGTTTAATTAAACCGTCTTCTTTAGCCAAAAGTTGGTCGACTTCATCTTCTATAACAACATTGGTTTTACTAAAATTGTCCGCTAACGAACCAGAAAAGTTTTCAAAATTATCTATGCTAGCAGTACTGGTGCGCTAAAAGTATAAATACAATTATGAATTTCTAATTTCTTTTTACATAGCTATTCTTACTTACGCGAGCAGAACCACTGGCTATTTGCTTTAAATATATCAAGTCGCCATGCTTAAGCGCGCTACCGATTTGTTGCGACGAATTGGCATAAAGCTGTAAATAAAGTTATTGATTAAAAGCAAGTTCATTTTTTTTTTGGCAAAGGCATTAGAAATATCAGTCAAGTGCCGATTATTTCCACAACGATCTTTGGCCAAACAATAAATAATTTCTTATAACAGGACGAAGGGGTCTAAACAATATCGCAATTGTGAGTTGACTGTGACTTAATTCAATCTGTCAAATTACTAGCCTTCATATTGACTTGAGCTAAGCTTTGGCTTTTGACTTATCGGATAAATAAGTAGATGAATTGGGATAAATCCTTTTAAAACGAAACTAATTTTTAAAACTGCAATTATGTTCATTCTAAGCAAAGAATTAACCAGATAACGGTTTATGGCGAGTATATACGCCATGATGCGCCCGTCCGCGCATGACTGATTTCCTCAACAAATTTTATCATTAAGAATGCGTATCTGCCATAAATAATTAATTAATTACGTGGGTAAAACGAACTAAAACTTAAAAAATCTATCGCAGGCGGCTATGCTCCTAGCCTCTCAGTTTAAGCATTTTTATAAACCCTGCCACTTCCTTTGTCCGACATTGTAAAGTGCCCGTCAAAAACATGGTCGGGTTAATTGGTTTAATTAAGTGATATAACTATTGCTTAAGGGGGTAGATCACTGTAGCAGAGGTCAGAACAATTTTAAAATTTGAGGAGAGATTATTAAGCATGCTATTAAGAAAAAAAAAGTTGCTTGGACAATGGCTACATTGCAGTTAATCCCTTGAAGCATTTTGGGCTTTGCAGCAAGCAGCGCTACCCGGGAATACCGAAAATGCTAAGAAGAGTTTACTAACGGCTGAGGAAACCGCCACTAATGTATTTTATTTCTCCTTGATTTTAGCTAAAATTTAGATCATTTAGATCATTAATTGTAGTTATGGGTTGATAAGGATTACTTCATTATTTGTTTACCTCATTTGAAAAATTTCTCTCTTTAAATAAACCAAAGCCATCAATTTTGAGGACCCTTTGTACGCATTCGTAAAGTTGTTTAAAGCTGGATTTCGGTGAGATCTCAATACGTTTAATGCCTTCCGGTGATTGTATTCGAACTAACTGTAAAGATAAAGAAAAATAATGGAAAATTTATTGATAATCGAAAGACATTACAGGAGTAAATTTGAGACATGAAATATATGTTTATTCAGAATTTCTCCCTGCTTACGTAACCCTAAAAGCCATTCCATCAAAATAGTTGTATAAGTTGCTAAGCAAGTATAATATATAAATAACCAGAGTCAATTGCGTTTTCTTTCTTTGTTAAGTTACTGTTGCTTTAAAATTACATTCAGCGAGCCTTGAAAGGCATACAAAGCTTTATTATTCATTACAAACCCACAAAGCGGACCTATGTAGGCCAAGTTTGGTAAAATTAATTTGTATGTCCACGGATTCTTATCAAAGAGCATTCAAAGTTAAGGCTTTTTACCATATGAAGATTCAGTTTCCATAAAATTCGTTATATGGCAAAAAACTGCCGAAACCGATCCAACTTTTTTGCACCACTTTAGAATGCCGAAATCCTATTACTAAGCGATGTTGATCGCGAAATTCTAAAAATTACAATATTTTTTCTTACAACAACTTATCACAATAAGTCGTCATATGGAGAGGGGCCTGTCCGAACAATTTTCAATAGCGATCGTCGTTTGGGTCAAAACATCGAAATACCTCGAAAATTGCGCCCAGTAAATTGACCCCAAACTAACGTGGACAGACGGACAGACAAATTTAGATCAAAACATTATTCTGTATCGATCGGTATAATAAAAAATGGATCTATCTTAATCCTTTCTGGATTTTACAACCATCCGCACAAACTTAATATACCCTACACCACCTATGGTGGAATCAATTCTATATCTCAAAGATATCGGTATTTTATATCAAATTTTCATTATCAAACAGATTTTCCCATGCGTCAAGAATGAACGTATACTTTGTAAAGAAGCTAAGTATGTACAGTTTATGAAACTATCTTTAAGCAGTTTCTTAGGACATAACAAAGCCAATGAAGATGGTCTTGTAAATATCCGAAACAAGTACAAACGCAAATATGGATTAACGCGAATTTTCCACACTCATCACTTACTTTGCAAGTGAGTGTGAGTATACAGAACGCACACATTGTAAACCCAAGAGCATCAAGTTTTAATTTGGTTGCCGCATCAGTGTAGCATTCCAAAAGTAAAGGGTAAGTATATGGTTCACCGGACACAATCAAATTGATTGGTAAACTTACGCTATTTCAAGTTTTTATTATTTATTTTCTAAATGTGTGTTTTCTAAATGGAAAAACAAGTTCAGCACATCCACACATTCAACCTGAAAAAGCTACAAAGAAGTATCGTTTTTGAAAAGTTGATAAAGCGAACAAAGATCAATGCTTACTAAGCCCTTCGGCTAAAAGATTTACATAATTCTTATTAAATATGGGCGTGTTTGCAACGATTTAAAAAAAAAAGGAAAACAACTCAGTAGTCATTCAGGTCATATGTCTACGAATGCGGTGATGGTCAATAAGAAAAAAGTAGGAACCGAATGGTCTGATGCGACCATAGCCATCGGTGAGTGTTACGCCTACACCTTTATGCGCTTTTTACATTTTTTAATACGTTCTTGTTTTTCCAGCGCATGGTCTGGGTATCAATGTAAATCCGTAATCTGAAACAATGTTATAAAATTGCTTTTTCTCCTTTAAACCTGAGCAGCAAGACTTTATAAGTCACTAGGCGCTTCTTTGTGCTTGAGTTCCTTGACTCGACAACCTCGTTTTATTGAAAGAAAAATGACATTAACGACATTTCTTAGAACTATTGCTCCGATATCCAAGCAGTTGGAGTTAAGTGTGCCGCAGTAGATTGCGTGGAATTAATAGTGTTAATTCTCCTTGGACTATTTGATGAAAGATCACATACTGGTGAGCTATTCTTAGACGACGAAAACGGGGGAGTGTTACTACCCGTGGTTGCGATTAAATTGAAGTCTTTCTTCCAACTTAAACATCATTTTTTAATATGTACATTTTTCTTGTTTGATATAAGATTGCTTTAGTTATGTATAACAATATTCCATACAATGGTCATATGGTTTACAAATATATTTTAAAATACACTTTTATGTAATTTATTATAGCCTCATTAATAATTAGAAAAATTGCAAATCACTTTCGCATACTGCGCTCACTTTCTGATATATGACTCTTTCCAAAGTTGGCTTAGGGACGCTCTAAAAGTAATACTTTATGCATAAAAGTAAATGATTATGACTTGAGGTTCAAGCTCAGCTAATGTTCTTAATTTTAGTCGAAGAGATTGACAACAAAAAAAAAGAGAAACCAAGCTCATAATGCCAGAGAATTTGTGATTTTAATTTCGAGCAGACGGACATGCACACGTGGTTAAGTCGAGTAGTCTACTCTCTTTGTCACTATATTTATATGAGATCTCCAAAGCCTGTTTCCTTGCGTAAAAGTAGATATAAAGAAATTCAATTTCTATATGTCATCAGGAAAAGGGGCTTGTAAGTGAGATCAGAGAAATAGCAACAAACTTAGCTTCTTCGTTCGGATATAGTCTCCCGACTATTACTTTAAAAAAGCTTCGCACTATTGATAAGTTGAAGGGTATTGATCTAACTTACGACTTTTAATCACATATTATCGAAGACCCGGACCATCCCTAACCATCTGACCCCTTCGGTTCTAATTTTTCAAACAGAAAAAGAACTCTAAACACGTACTTTTACTTGACGCGTGCAATTGTAGCAGACGCAATGCGCATTTTCATTTTGCCGGCTGCTGTGAATTTAAAGAGGAAAACATATTAAGTAAATTTTTCATTTGCCTGAAAGGCCGGTTGCTTTAATTTTCATTTTTTCTTCTTTTTTCTTCCATTTTTACGATAATACCACACCAACAAACTTAAAAACTTACAAAATTTGAAGTTGATTTCGACATGTCTGCCGTGTGTATTTGTTAGATCACGGCAGCGACGAAATTTATTTTATTTTTTTTAATAGAAAACGCGTTTGAAACTGTTGCACAATTCCCTCTTGGTCACTATAACTCCTTCATATATATGTTTAGAGTTTTGCCGTTTAAATAATTTATATTTTTTCTTTTGATGTCTATCGAATTTTCTATTTAAAAAATGCAAAATAATTAAAAATTGAAACCAATGACAACAGTTTAACACTAGAAAAAAATCGCCAATTCATTAAAATGTCATAACAAAGTGTGATAACAGGGATGTTTAAATGAAAATATGTTTTCATTTATATAAGAATGCTTGTTAACACAATACGTTTTCTATTAAAGTTAGATAACAGCAAATAACAGATGGCGCTTTCATAATTTCAATTGCAATTCGAAATAAAAGTGCAACCCAGTTTATACATTTAGAGATTTAAATATTGAAATTTTGTGGCACATTTTCATGAATAAATAATTATATAATATATATCAAAATACAAGGTCTCTAGCTAAAGAGAAATGTAAAAATAAATAAAGATTTCAGCTTTCGAATGAAGTTTCCCATAAATAATTTAGATTTAACAGAGTTTTTCATTGGACACTTGTGCGTGAACACTGAAAATCTATAAACGACCTGAAGGTATTAATGGCAATCTTTAAGTCATTGTAAAGCTTTTAGCTCCTGTGGATCGGAAGAACACATATCTATTATTTCCTTCCTGATTGGAAGAGGAGAGATATACTGCAGACTTTATGCTATTTTCTTATAGGAGAAATTCTTGTGATGATTGTTATTAACAGTAAGATGATCAGATGTCTCTTTTTTAGAGAGTACTGTATCCTGCAAGTTATTTCACACGAAGGTGTTTTGCCGCAAAAAGTCTGAAGCCTGAAGTACTCGTATAAGCAATGCGCATAAAACCTGGTAAAGTAAATTTAATTTTCTTCTTTGTCTTTCAAATAAATTATAGTTAGACAGGACTCGTCATTAAGTATATACCACTTCGTTTAGTATAGTTGTTCAAACAAGGACTAGACAAAATTATACGTTACATGGGCAGAGATCGAAAAAGTGCTTCGATTGTAAGTATTTTTTATAGCTTTCATTGTTGGGCCAAAATCCAGTTGGTGTAACAAATTTCATGTAATTAACTCAAAAATTACTTGCAGATGTAAGATGAAAATGCAAGACGGACAAGCGGACGGACGGACAGACAAAGTTAGGTCTAGTCAGAATTTGTCTTTGCGGTATAATGGGAAGTGAATAAATTCTTCAGAATGTTGCATACATTCGAACGAAGGTAATACACTTTTGTACTTGCGAATCTAAGTAAACGTTTATTCATGGTGTGCCTTACGATGAGTTATCTAATAAATGAAATTTCCCAACTCTTCTTCTATTTTATATTTCTCATTTAATTAATATTTCTTTACTTATTATATCATTTTATTACTTGACTTTAACTTTTGCACGCAATTTCCTAAACAAAAATCTAATTGATCATAATTTATAGCCAGCAAGTCTTTGGAAGGTAGAAGAAGCATAGCGCTTAGTTAAGTAATAACATTCATTTAATCCAAAAGAAAATTTGACACAAAATTGCTATCAATTCGATTAGTTGTTTTAGGTAGAAAATATGCTTTAAATTTTTATTATTAAAAAATAAGGTAAATATATAATTTAAATATTTGTTTTTTTTTGCATTTAGCCAAAAAGTAGACTTTGCATGAAACATTAATCAAAGAAGTAGTCGTCGTTATTCCATTAGGAAATATAATATTTTTTTTTCTTTGAAATTCAAAACGAAGAAAATAATAATTTTTAAATAGTTTTTAAAAAATATTATTCTAATAATTGTTCTTCGTATTTTTTTTCTTTTTTTTGAAAATTTAATTTCATTCAAATTTTATTCTTCGGGAAAAAACTTGCGCATGCTCTGTCATAGAGTGGACATAAATTTCTTTTAGTCAATTTTGTTGTTAGTTTTCTTGTTTTTTTTTTTTGTAAAAAGAGAGAGTTAATTTCTATTGAATTCACCCCTTTTTCTCACCTCTCTAATTATTCAGCTTTTATGCATGAGGCGAACGTGTATTGGTGTGATACGAGAATTGCGGAAACCATTCTTTCGCAAAAAAAGAAAAAAAAAACAAAAAAAACAAGAAAAAATAAACAAAAATATTTCTTATCACGAGTTTAACTAACACATGTGCCTCTTACAACAACCAAGTCTTTGTCGGCCATTATCGATATCAATTCGCATAAACTTGAGACTAAAAAGATATGTTGTCTGATTACCGCACAACATCTTTCTTTCAGTCTGCATCGGTTGCAAATCCTAAACGGTCGCTTAAAGCGGAAATAAAAATTGACAAAAACCCAAAAACCAAA